CGCCCCAGGGTGGCAGTTTTACCACCCCTCCTCTCGTCGTGTTCTGTCCTCCCAGGACGTCACGTTCGACGAGTCAGTCCCCTTCTACCGTCTCTTCCCCTACCGCACTCCTTCCCTCCCCCCTCCCCCGGACTTCCTTGTGCCGGTTCCCCCCCCGGTAGACCCCCTCCCCCCTCAGGTTCCTGCCCCCTCAGGTGTGTCCCAGGTAGACGCCGTTGACCCGGTCGAGGTTACTGATGACTCTGGTGCTGCTGCGGGTGCTGAGCCTGGGGGTGCTGACTCTGGGGGTGCTGAGCCTGGGGGTGCTACTGCTGGGGGTGCTGGGCCTGAGGGTGCTACTGCGGAGGGTGCGGAGCCTGGGGGTGCTGAGCCGGGGGGTGCTGTGCCTGGAGGTGCTGGGTCTGGGGGTGCTGGGTCGGGAGCTGCTGAGCGTGGGGGTGCTGTGCTGGGAGCTGCTGAGCCTGGGGGTGCTGCGTCTGGAGCTGCTGAGCCTGGGGTTTCTCCTGCTGCTGCGTCTCGCCGGGAGCCCCTCTCTCCACAGGAGCTGCGCGAGTGGTTCGCTCGCCGCTGGAGGCGTGCTGCTGAGTCTGGAGGTGCTGCTGGAGCTGGAGCTGGAGCTTCTTCGACCGTCGACGGTGCGGGCTCCGCCGGTCCCGGAGCTGCTGGACCTGCGGGTCCTCCTAGAGCTGGAGCTGCTGAGGGCGTTGGTGCTGAGCCTACTGCTGTTGGTCCTGCCGCTGGAGGTGTGGGTGGCGCTGGTGCTGTCGCTGAGGGTGCTGGTGCTGTCCCTGCTGCGTCTGGAGCTGCCGCGCGGCCTCGGCCGTACTTCGTTCCGCTCCTGCAGCAGGTTCTTGGTCTTTCTCCTCCAGTAGAGGGTCCACCGCCTGTCCACTCGCAGTCCCTGCTGGAGCCTTCCTCTCCACTGCCTGCTCCCTCTCCTTACACTGGTCCTACTGGAGGTCTTGCTGAGCGTCGTGAGCCTGCGTCTCGTCCCGTGTCGCCTGTTCGTGCTGCTCGCGCTAGTGGTCGCAGTTCGCGTCAGCGTCCTCCTCCTGTCCCTGGCACGCAACGGATGTCTTTGCGTCCGTCCACTGCTCCTCTGCATGCCCCTTTGCCTTCTCCTCCTGAGTCCTCTCTTCCTGCGCTTGCCGACCCTGAGTCGGACTCTCTTCGTGCTGCCAGTCCTACTGTCACGCGTCTGCTTGCTACTGTCGTCACTGACCCCTCTTTTGAGTCCACTGCTGCGTCTGCTCTAGTCGCTGAGCTCGTCGACTTTGCTGCTCGCTGTCGTCTCGACTACGCTGCTAGTCTTGTTGCTGAGTCTACGTCTGTCTGTCCTCCGTCCGTCGGGGGTGAGTGTGCTCTTGGCACGGACGTCCTAGAGGACAGGTAGGAGGAGTTACAGTGTCTAGTGGCTGCTTCACCTCATCTCGCGTCTGTACTGCTTGCCCCTGAGGGAGACCCGGATGCACTAGACATCCCGACTCCGCGTTCTTACGCGGAGGCCGTAGAGGGTCCCTATTCCTCTCAGTGGCAGGCAGCTATGGATGCAGAGATGGCTTCCTGGAAGTCCACAGGCACCTACGTTGACGCGGTTCCCCCTCCTGGGGCGAACATCGTCAGTGGCATGTGGATCTTCAGGGTGAAGCGGCCGCCGGGCTCTCCACCTGTCTTCAAGGCACGGTACGTTGCTCGTGGCTTCAGTCAGCGGCAGGGAGTTGACTACTTTCAGACCTTCTCTCCCACCCCGAAGATGACTACTCTTCGGGTGCTGCTGCACATAGCCGCTCAGCGCGACTACGAGCTTCACTCTCTCGACTTCAGCACTGCGTTCTTGCAGGGTAGCCTGCACGAGGAGATCTGGCTTCGCCGTCCACCTGGCTTCACTGGGACTTTCCCTCCTGGCACCCAGTGGAGCCTCCGACGGCCAGTCTACGGTCCCCGCCAGGCACCGCGTGAGTGGCACGACACACTGAGGACTACGCTTGCGGCTCTTGGGTTTGCTCCTTCTACTGCTGACCCGTCGTTGTTTCTTCGCACCGACACTTCCCTGCCGCCGTTCTACATCCTCGTGTACGTCGACGACTTGGTCTTTGCCACAGCGGACACTGCTGGACTCGCCTACGTGAAGTCCGAGCTGCTGAAGAGACACACGTGTACAGACCTGGGTGAACTGCGCAGCTACCTTGGCTTGCATATCACTCGGGACAGAGCACGCCGCACCATTACCTTGACTCAGTCACACATGGTGCAGCAGGTCCTTCAGCGCTTCGGCTTTACGTACTCCTCGCCTCAGGCCACTCCTCTGCCTACTCGCCACTCACTCTCAGCTCTGCCTTCGGATGAGTCCGTAGAGTCGAGTGGTCCGTATGCAGAGCTTGTTGGCTGCCTCATGTACCTGATGACCTGCACACGACCTGACCTTGCATACCCTCTGAGCATTCTTGCACGCTATGTTGCTCCTGGGAGACACAGACCGGAGCACATGGCTGCAGCGAAGAGGGTATTGCGCTACCTGTGCAGTACGTCGGGCATGGGGCTAGTGCTTGGAGGGCGGAGTCCAGTGGTCCTTACCGGCCACGCGGACGCTTCTTGGGCTGACGACCAGGCTACGCAGCGGTCGTCACAGGGTTACACCTTCAGCCTTGGTTCCGGCTCTGTCTCGTGGCGATCTACTCGCTCGTCTTCGGTTCTTGGCTCCAGTTGTGAGGCTGAGATCTACGCCGGGGCCATGGCTGCACAGGAGCTTCGCTGGCTCACCTACCTGCTGACTGACCTTGGAGAGCCGCCTCGTTCTCCTCCAGTGCTGTACGTAGATAACAAGGCCATGCTGGCCTTGTGTCGAGAGCAGCGCTTGGAGCACAGAACGAAGCACATTGCTCTCCGCTACTTCCTTGCTCGTGAGCTGCAGCAGCGTGGTCAGTTGCGACTTGCGTACGTGGCCTCTGAGGCCAACACTGCTGATGTGTTCACCAAGGCACTCGCGCCTTGTGACCATCAGCGCTTTTGCACCCAGCTGGGTCTTGTACCTGTCTTGCCTCACTTGCTCTCCTCTTGACTTCACTTGTACTGTGACATATATATATACCTGCTCTTGTTTGTCTAGTTTTATATATATGTCTGTACTCCTGCATGTGAACTGGCCTCTGGCCCTGCTCTTGTGCTCGGACTGTGTGGTGACTTTGTGATCCACCGTGAGCTTGCTTTGCTTTGCTTTGCTTGACTGGTCTTGTGACCCCTTGTTCTCCCCCACTTTGCCTATGGGGGTGTGTCAGATTATCATAGTTGATGCATGTTTGTAGGCTATAGTGGGGTAGCACATATGGGGTACAGCTTTCTAGGGCTGTATTTGTACCCAACCCTGACTTAGTCATTTCATTCCTGTTCACTTGTTTTCACACAGTTCCCACTAGGGAACCTGCTCGATACCATGTTGAGATAGAGGCGAGGAATGGGTGCACTATGAAATGAAACAAGTACAAGTACCAACCCTAATTGGGTTGTACCCCATATGGGCTACCCCACTACAGCCTACAATACATGCATCAGCTAAATATAATATGACACCAGGTGTTATGAGTTGTATGAAAGAAGAGTGCGCAGAATGCAATATCGCGGAAGTGATTACAACTACTGAGCAAACATCGGGGCCTAGGCATAATATAGCAAGGCTAGCTAAGCCTGAGGTCGCGAAGTCGTGCGAGGTTGGGTGTAGGTTTGGGTTTGGGAAACCCGAAGGCGACGCGGAGGACGTTCGGGAGGCGTGGTCGTCGGACCGAGCCTGAACTCCGAAAGTTGGAAATGTACGCGTAAGTGGTGCCTCAGTAAGGAATTAGGGAAATTCCTTACAAATATTAGCCTCTATAACCTTTTTCTGTAGGGTAACCGCGTCAAATCATGAGATTAGCCGGGATGACGCGCTCGGTTTTCCGCCATGCAAAACGAGCTTCGTGCCAGAACACATTTAGAACTCGAATTGTTTTCGAAAATATTGCGAACTGGGAAGCAAATCAAACTCTCTCACACACACGCCCCAGTAACAGAGTGTATTCGTGTTTGCGAACTGTATTATTTTAGGACGCGGTAAAAGTGGAGAATCGATCGCCTCAGATTCGTTTTTTAGCACGGTTATAAACTGTTGTGTATTTTTTGTATACAAAACGCGAGGTTTCAGTGCGGTGACCGGTTCGATTTCCCCCCGAACGAGCACTTTTACCGCGTCCTTAGTCAGCCGGTAACCTGTCTCGCAACAGTTCCAATTCCTAGAGTGTCTTCCCACAAAAAACCCTGACGAAGTCTGCCTATTGCACGCATGATTTTCTCCCCATCAAGTTCTGTTCATACGGGAGGGATGTTGTGTCTGTTGATGGTACACCAGTTCGTTTGGGCAGGTGCTGTGCCCGCCTGGGGTCACCACGACGCTGCACGTGTTTAGGTTTGAATTGGGAAAATCTCAGCGCAAACGGGTCGTCGGGCCCGACGACCCTCTTCCGGGGTTTATTTTTTTTGCCCGCGGGTAGCGAGCTCCCCCGGGCGGACTCGCTTGTCCGCTGAGATATACTCTTCGGTGGCACCGGACAGTCAACATTTTGTTACAGGGGTGTTATTTCCCGAAACGAAACGAGTTGGACCCGCCCTTAGCCTTGAAACGATCCTAAGAGCTTTCTCAGCCCAACAGATGTGACTGAGGGGGGTTGAAATGGGGTGCGGGATGGGGTGTCTTGATGGGCAATCATCTTACCAAACAAGCCCAGACGAGCTGCTGCGAAGGTGGTGCGAGGACCCACGTGACAGTAGCATGTCGTAGTGGCCGTTTTTAGGGACTCCAAGTGGAAAACGGGCATTGCGCGCGCAAGGTTTGGGAAGCGCTAACGTCGAGATTTGCATTTGTAACAGCACGGAGGTCGCAGAGGTCCCACGGAGGTCGCACAGAGGTCGCAACGCTGTCACACAGTCGCACCGAGGCCGCACGAAAGGCCGCAGGAAACTCGCAGGGTGTAATGGCGTCGTCGTGGGCTCAGCACGCGCCCGTATTCGGCGCGCACTGTAGCCAATTCCTGGTGGAGCAATGTCCGCTTGGCGCGCAGGTCCTAGCTGCGCCATTGTCGCATCAGTCTCCGTCCCCGTCGTTTGCTCATTACCATTCTCGCCAGCAGCACGACTCTGCGACGTTATGCGACGAGAATCCGTCGCTTGATTTATTCGCGGAGAGTGACGTGGCAGCGGAGTTCTTGAACCTTCTGGACGCCATCACGGACGGCTCGCAGTCGGACGGGACTCCCATCGGCAGCACCGATTCACAGCAGCATCGCGATACTAACTTATTGCACCACCAACACCTACAGCACCAGCCGTCGTCGTCCGCACCATTTTCACCTGCCGCCTCCGCCGCCGATCCCGCCACGGCCATCTCCGTTTCCGCCAGCGGTGCTGCTAGCTTATTGGCCGCAGCGCCAGGTTCGTTTGGCGATGGTGCTATGATGGCAGCAGCAGCAGCAGCACCACTGGCAAACCCTGTGTCTCCGCGGCACGGGGAGTCGTTAAACTCGTTGGAGCCGGGGACGATTCAGGACGAGGCTGCGGAGTGTACGGCGGGGTTTAACTTCACTGGCGCTCGTCTAGACGACCCCATCGACGCTTTTCTCGGCACCCTGCTGCTCGCGGATCCGGGGTCCGGGGGAGGCGATTTGCTCGTGTCATTGCCTTGCCCGTCCGCCGCTGCGGCTCGCGATCATAGCCCGCCGCTGCACGGCGCGCCGACGGTTAGCCAAGGCGCGGCGGAAATGCGGGAGTGCTGGCGTCCAGACTCGTTAGTAGCACCTCCCGCGTCTACCTCGTGGGCTTCGCTGCCGTTGCACAGGGAAGAGACTCACTCGCCACTGCTGCTGCAGCAGCAGCAGCAGCAGCAACAGCAGCAGCAGCTTGTGATAACGACGGCAGAAGGGAACGAGGCGTTGCATGAGTGAGTGCCTTGCGTACCGCCGCATGTGCGACCAGGGGGCCAGGGCGAACCGGCATGTGCGGGGACTGGCTGGAGTGGCAATACAGTGGGGGACGTGGGCATGGGCGGAAGCAAGGCGGGCGGAATGGGCGGTGGGGGAGGCGATGTGCAGCAGGTGCACGATTTGGCGCCCCCTGTGGAGATTTCTGCCGCGGGACTCTTTGGTGGAGCGCGTGTGGAGGGAAGCGGTGAGGGAAGTGGGGCGACAAGCAGGGAGCGGCGCGAGGATAGTGCGAGTGGCAATGGCAATGCGATTGCTGATGATGATGCGTTTCGGGATGCTGGTGGTGGTGGTGGTGGTGGTGGTGCTGCTGCTGCTGCTGCTGCTGCTGCTGCTGCTGCTGCTGCTGCTGCTGCTGCTGCTGCTGCTGGTGCATGGGAAGGACAGCAGGTGGGCGAGCTGTTGGGCGCACAGCAGTGGCTTCATACTAATAATAGCAGTAATAGTAGTAGCAGTTATAATAGAAATAACAACAAAAATCCGCAGCAGCAGCAGCAGCAGGAGCCGCAGCAGCCGCAGCAGCAGCAGCAGGCAGTGGGTGGCAGCACCCCTCGTGTGCGGCAGTTGCCCAACCTGTCAGGGCGACTGGCAGCTCTCATCAGCCAAATAAGCCACGCCGGCAACGCCAAGGCCAAGGCTAAGGCCAAGGCCAAGCGCAGGGCGGGGCATGACGCTGCTGCACCAGCAGCAGCTGGCGCAGGGGGAATGAGGATGATACACGAGCAGGCGGGTCTAGCAAACGGCCTGGAGCGTGGCTTGGAGGAGGGAGGGCGAGAGAGCGCGTCGGGCCTGCATGGCCGAGGCACAGGCGGTGATGAGGGAAGGCTCGCATGTGGGCGTGGTGGGGGCGGTGGTGTGCAGGAGGCGCATGGCGAGGAGTCAGGCAGCAAGCGGCGGGCAGTGCAGGCGCGAGAAGCATCGCATGTCCCACCCTCTGCAGCGCTCAGCTCTCAGCACCTTGCTGCTGCCACTGCGGCACCTTCCTTCCCTCCTAAGCCCACTACTAGCGCTGCTGCTGCTGCTGCTGCTGCTGCTGCTGCTGCTGCTGCTGCTGCTGCAGGAGGCGCTGCTGCAGCGGCGCCGTCCCTACCCCACGCGTGGTCACTGCCAGGCTCGGGTCCAGACGGCCTGTCAGGAGAGGTGGACCCGTTTCTCCTCACGGAGCACATCAGCCGCTGCGCGCCTGCTCTCGCCCTCGCCCCCGCCATGCTCGCTGCCCCGCACGACCCCTTTGCCACCCGGCAGCTGCAGCTGCCGTCACTCGCTGCAGTTCCGTACACACGAGCTTCCTCCCAGGCGCTCCCATGTCATTCGGGCAGAGAGGGTGTGTCGGCCTCTCATCCCCTCGCGTACCACTCTCTGCTGCCAACTGCGCTGCCCGGTGCTGCGACCAGCAGCAAATTATTGGGTGGTTTCACATCAGTGAACATGCCCATGTCCATGCCCATGCCTATGCATATACCCGTACCCACGTCCATGCCCATGCCCACGTCCACGCCCATGCCGTTTTACGGGCCTGCGCATGAGGCGATGACCATGGCAGTGCCGCGGCCTGTGCGTGCGCGCGTGCACAAGGGCAAGAGCGATGTGGGCATGGACGAGGTGAGGCAGCTCGTGCTCGCCCTCGCTGAAGCCATCGCCACCGCTGACACGGTCAGTGCCCCCTCCCTGCCCTCTTCTCCCCCACTATCCGTCCCTCCCTCCCTCCTTCCCTCCCTCCCTCCCTCCCTCCCTCCCTCCCTCCCTCCCTCCCTCCCTCCCTCCCTCCCTCCCTCCCTCCTCCCTCCCTCCCTCCCTCCCTCCCTCCCTCCCTCCCTTTTCTCACCACCCCACTTCATCCATGCCGCGCTATTTCCCTTTCCTTTTCAATACATGTCTTCGTCTCTCGCGCCTGTCTTCTTTCTATCATATCCTCCTATCTTCCCAGCCTTGACTTGGCCCTTTCCCTCTCCCCGTGCCAGCCCAACTCCCTACCCGTCCTCCCCGCCTTCCCCCATCCACATCCCATCTTCCTGAAATCTCTCAACCACACCCCTTTTTCAGCAGCAACAAATACCATATCCCCCTCACACCCCACCCACGCCCGTGCGCCCCCCTCCCTGTGTCAGGACCGGGTGACAGGGCTGCGGGCGCACGTGGCAGCAGCAGCGTGTGCGGAGGGCAGGCCGGGGCAGCGAGGGCGCACTGCTTCCTGGACGCGCTCACCACCCGCCTGCACGGCACCGGCGCCCTTCGCCTTTACAATGCCGCCTTCTCCTCCCAGGTACTCCCACATGCACGCACTGTGCGAGTTACAACCACCCAGCTCCCATGGCCAAGCGCCAAGTGCACGTGTGGTGTGGTTGCCTTGGTGGGATGTGGTTGGTTGCGGTGGGGTGTGATGTGATGGGGTGCGGTGCTGTGGGGTGCGCTAGCATGTGGGGCGCGCGTGCGATGTGATGGGGCATGGTAGGTTCGGTTCGGCGCCCATGCACATGTGGTGGGCGTGCCGTGCCAGTCGTTTCCAGGCGGGGCAGCGGAGGTGAATGTGTGCAGGAGGTACAGAAGGCGAGGGGCGTTTGCAGGTGACATGTGGGGAAGCTGAGGGGGTTTGGGGGGGTGTTGTGGCTGTGAAGTTGGGATTGAGGAGTCATCAGTTCCTACCCGTCACCAGCCCAACAGGGGAAGACCACTCTGTTGTCACCGCACCACTCACTCCCTACTCGATCTCATATTCGTCCCTTTGCTTCTCCCACCACAACGTGCTCCCCCCGTCTACCTGCTCTCTCCCTGTCGCCATGCGTGCTGCCCCTGCCAGGACATGCTCCAGTCAGTCGCGCCATGTGTACTTCACCACCACGCCCCAACCTTACGTTCCTTGTCCCACCACGTTCCCCCGCGGTCTCCTCTCTCTCTTCCCCCGTTGCATCTCAGGACATGCTGCAGTCGCGACAAGTGTATTTCACCACCACGCCCTTCGTCCCCTTCCTCTACGCCACCGCCTATTCCGCCATCCTGCAAACCTTCTCCCGCTCCTCTCGCCCCTCCCCTCCCACTGGCACCACCATTACCGCTCGCTATCCTGCGTTTGATCCGTGCGCGCCTCACGACACCCCCGTGTGCTCCCCCGTTACCACACATCCTGCTGCGCCGGGCACCAGCAGCAGCAGCAGCAGCCACTGCAGCGACGGCTCAGGAGAGGTTTCTTGCTCTGGGGAAGCAGCAGCAGGAGGAGGAGGAGGAGCAGGCGCAGGAGCAGGAGTGGGACGAGCAGCGCATCAAGCAGGGGCGAAGAGCCAAAGGGAAGGCATGCGGAGGGGGGCGCTGCACATAGTCGATTTTGGAGTGTACCTGGGCGGGCAGTGGTCGCTGCTGCTGCGCCGCCTTGCCTGCCTGCCTGGCGGCCCCCCTCGCTGCGTGCGCATCACAACCGTTGATAACTGCCTCCGTGTCAGCCGAGCTGCCAACCACTGCACACAGCGGTGCACAGCAGGATCAGCGGCAGAGGCAGGGGCGGGAGCGGGGGAAGCGGCGGGATGCGGAGCAGATGGTGTAGGAGGCAGGGGAGTGGGAGACGTGTGGGTGGAGGAGGTGGGGGGTGCGGAGCAGTGCTGGGTGGCAGAGTGTGAGCGGCAGAAGCACGAGGAGCTGGGGAGGATGCTCACTGCACAGCTCACAGCAGAGGCGGCCGCGCTGGGCATAGAGAGGTTTGAGCACCGCGTGGTGACGATTAACAAGGATAACCTCGCAGATAGCCTCTCCCAGGTGGAGGGCCGGCGCAGATGGCAGGGCCGCGGTGGCAGTGGGACAAGGAGGATGCGTGGAGGGGTGCAGGAGGGGGGTGTTGAGGAGTGGCAAGGGGAGGGGTGTGAGGAGGAGGAGGAAGAGGAGAAGGAGGTGGTGGCGGTGTGCTGTTGTTTGGAGCTGCAATACTTCCACGACAGCTCTATCATGCGTAGCAGCCCTAGAGATGCTGTTCTCAAGGTGCGCTGCCTGCTGCCTGCTTTCAGTGGTTGCATCACTGCGTGTGTGGGGCAGCGAGCCGTGGCACCACACGATGCTTGCAATGCTGTGTCCTGCAAAACATTTTTTGCTGCCCAACCAGCCTCCTTCCCTTTCCGCGGTCGTCTCGTTGTTTCGCATCACATCACCTCTGCCATGGAGGCGCATGTGCTTACATGAGTTGCATCTCCTCATTTCTCTTCCCTCCCTCCTCCCCTCTATCCCCTCTTGATTTCCCTTATGTGTTCGTCCCTCCGTCCCGCCAGTGGGTGGCCTCCCTCGCTCCGGACATCTTCACCTTCATGGAGACTGACCTGTCGGCCAACGGCCCCTTCTTCCTCTCGCGCCTGCGCAACTGCCTTGACTACCACGCCGCGCTCTTTGAGTGCCACGAGGGCCTCTCCGCATGCCCTGCCCCCAGCCACGCGCCCCAGCCAACCAAACTCCACCAGCAGCGGCGCAACCAGCAACCACAGCAGCAGCAGCAGCACCATCTGTCAACCGACGCACAGCCCTGTGCACAAGGCGCGGTGGGCAGTGCTGACACCAGCTGGTCCCAAGTCTGCATGTCCTCTCTCTCACTAGCCACTGAGAAGCCCGCACCACCCACCCCCGCGCCTTCCCCCCTCCTCGAAACGCCCTCTCGCCGCGACCACATCCTGGCATTTGAGCGGGCCTTCTTCGGGTACAACATTGTAAACATGGTGGCCACCGAGGGCATGCAGCGCTCCGTGCGCCCGGAGAGCCTGGTGGAGTGGGCGCAGCGCATTCGGCACACGGGGTTTGTGCCGCTGGCGGTGCCGGCAGACGTGCTGGAGGAGGCGTATGGCACCATCCGCAGCACCCCCCCGGGGCTGGGCATGCTGGCCACAGAGGGCGCCGTGCAGCTCACATGGCATGGCCGACCGCTGCTCATGTGCACTCTCTGGCAAGTGCCGTGGGTCATGGGTTGAGAGCATGAACCATCTCATGCCATGCCACGCACGGTAGATTCTCCTTGTTTCTATCCTCCTGCACACTTTCCGTTTCCTTCCACCTGCCTCCCACCCTCCCGCTGCCGCTCCTGCTGCATCTCTTAAGTATTACGTAGTCCCCTGCATTTACCACCCGAGATTCACAGAATAAAAAATGGGTGTGTCTTCTTATGACACTTGTGTGTGAAGGCAGATTTAAACGCAGGAAAGTATGTTGAGAGCATATGGTGAAAGCTGACAGAGATGTACTCATCCATATTTGGGTGTTGCTCTGATCTGCTTCCTACTCATCCCATTGTGGTGCTCCAATGGACTGATTTGGATGATTCCTGTCACCAATTTTATACTTCTGCAATTTCCCATCATATCATATCCCATTCAGGTCTTGTGGTTGCAGGTAAGGATGACAAGATTCTTCCCCATTATATAGCAGATGCAGTGCTTGCACAAATGTGGTTACGGTATACTTGACGATTGTGGACACAACCAAGGAAGAATGTCCCGACAAACTGTTGGCTCGCTGTTGACCAAACTGCCTTCACTATCAGTACTCCTGCTTCCTTTTTGAAGTGCATAAGGAAGTTCAATATGGAAAGCAGGGCACAAATGTTCCCTTTCACCGTAATACTAGAAGCACTTCAGCTGAACAACGGATGCACCAACGTCATTATACTCGTCCCTGGTAATCCATACCTGCATCAAGAGAAGGTACAGTAAGTTAGCTCAAACAATCAAGGCATAAAAGCGATAGAAATTGCAAAAAAACACATACCAGCTCGGAGGATGACTTAGACGAAAAAATCGATCCACCAATCCAGGCACTGTACTTCCGCTCAGGTACTTCAATCACTTTAGTGAACGTGGACGGTGGAGCCAGCTGAGTCACTTCCTTGGTCACGCGCTCAGCGATTCCAGGGAACATGGTATTACCACCGCTGAGAACAATGTTGTTGTACAGATCCTGCCTGATACCTTCCTCACACTTCATGATGCTGTTGTTGCAAATCACGTGGATACCCGAGCCTTCCTTGCCAGCCAGCGACGGGTTGAAGAGCGCTTCTGGGCACCTAAATCGCTCAGAACCGACGGTAATAGCCTCGCCATCAGGAAGCTCATAACTCTGCTCCGACGAGCCCTCCTGCTCGAAGTCAATGGCAACGTAAGCCAGCTTCTCCTTGATGTCCCTCACGATTTCCCGCTCAGCGAATGTGGTGAAGGCGCGACCGGCCCTCTCACACAACAGCGAAGCCAGGTACTTGGTCAGATCACGACCGGCAAGATCCAATCTGAGAGTCGCGTGCGGCAGAGCGTGACCTTCGAATATGGGGACAGCGTGGGTCTGACCGCCACCGGAGTCCAGAACAATACCTGAAACCAAAGAGGAGATCAGCTGCAGAAACACACCGTAAATAGCGACTTGCGCAGAGAAACAGGCCCAGACTTACCTGTGGCTTTACCGGCGGAGTGCAGGGCGAGCACGGCCTGATTGGCGACATACAAAGCCGGGACGTTGAAAGTCTCAAACATAATCTGCGTCATCTTCTCGCGATTTGCTGCCGTATTCAGAGGAGCTTCAGTCATAAGCAGCTTATGCTCCGTTGGATCGACACGAATCCCATTTGTGAAGGTGTACTCCCAAAGCTTTTCCATGTCGTCCCAGTCCGCCACAATACCTGGAAAGGTGTATCCCATTTGCGAAGGTCACAAGCGAGAAGAAATAAACTTCGCGCGTGGTACATTCAGCAGCGAAGTTAATCTCACCGTGCTCAATAGGATACTTCAGCGTCAAAATTTCACGCTTGGCCACGGCTTCATCACCAACGAAGTAATCACGCGCATCTTCTACTCCTCGGCCAACAATGCTGGGAAGTACAGCACGCGGCGCTTCCTCTCCAGCAAATCCGGCCTGAAAGCTCGCAGTGCATTAGAAGGAAATCACGAGCATCGTATAAATCGCCAGTGCCAATGCTACTCACCTTCATCGTGCTGGAGCCATTGTCGCATATAAGATGAGGTTTGTCCGACATATTGAACGGCCCTCACTGTGGAAGAAGATTAACCAAAAAGAAGAAAAACAAAAGACATGAAATTCCTTCGACAATTCAAAACAATCCGCCTAATGCAGTTTGGAGTGCTTTACTTGACTGATAACGACCAGAAGTAGCAACCATTGTCATCAGACATGCTCACCACGACGAGCTGGAGGAAGGTCAGGGGGATGACTTGCTTTGAGCACCGAATGCAATGATGCGGGAATACGAAGTGCTCTTCACCCCTCTATAGGTAACTCGAGACCTGGGTCGGGGACCAGCCAAACGGGCAATGCCACAGGCTGGGCGACAAACATTCGACAGCTCTGTGCGACTACTGTACACCCTCTTTCTTACCTCTCTCACCAGCGGAAGCACTGGCTACAGTGTTTGGACGTAGCGGGCTGGTGAGATAAGTAGGTTGCGGGCAAAGTCGCACAAGGGTTTGAAACACGCCTTGGGCCGTAAAAAACCATTAACGTTGAATAACCGTCCTGACCGCTTTCAAAACAACAGTACCATTGTAGAACGTAGAAAACCTTGACTAAACGCACCTGGTCAAATTGTCACTGTAACGCATGTGATAGGACCTTCTTTGGTCCGGTGCGGCTACACTAAGCGTCGCGGTCAGTATAACATATGCCAGTCTATCGAGAATAAAGGTGTACAGCTCTGTAGTGAACTGTGATGGTGTTAATACAGAAAACGGTGTTGTCCAAAAACTTTATCTTGACTGTTGACCGGAATCTGAAATGTCAAGAGCCAAGCCACTCCTGCATCTTGACGGAAGAACTGTAAGGGCGAACGCAAAATTCGCAAGTCTGGACGGTTTGATCATGCGAAACATCAAGCCATATTTTAAATTTTATCACGAGAAATTATACGCGCAGTCACAATTTAGGCCGTATTATCACGTTTGGTCACGGGGTTATCACGGACAGTCACAGTACAGTACTTCGCTATCACGTGTGATCACAGTGCTATCACGCGTGGTCACACCTCGCCCCGCAGGGTTATCACGTTTGGTCACTCGTTGAAACGCCCGCCAAAAAGTCGAAACTCTCAAATCTACTGTACAGATTCGGGTACTATTATCTCGCTCGCGTTTTGTCTGTAGTGAAAAACGTGATGTGACTGTCGAAATATACTCGGACCTTGTTAGGGACCGATGCAGTTTAATGCACAGTCCGCATGTTGCAGTGAATATAAGCGATCAATAACAGTTTCGATTATACATTTAGTTTAGGGTGTGCATTTCATCCATAAAACAAAGACATGGGTTTAGGTCGAATGATTTAAATAGTGAGAACATTGAAATCATTCGAAAACCATACAACAATCTGTGGCATATGATTCTTGAGTGGGGACTCAAATTTGTAGTCCCCACTCAAGAATCATATGCCACAGATTGTTGTATGGTTTTCGAATGATTTCAATGTTCTCACTTTTTAAATAATTCGACCTAAACCCATGTCTTTGTTTTATGGATGAAATGCACACCCTAAACTAAATGTATAATCGAAACTGTTATTGATCGCTTATATTCACTGCAACATGCGGACTGTGCATTAAACTGCATCGGTCCCTAACAAGGTCCGAGTATATTTCGACAGTCATATCACGTTTTTCACTACAGACAAAACGCGCGCGAGATAATAGTACCCGAATCTGTACAGTAGATTTGAGAGTTTCGACTTTTTGGCGGGCGTTTCAGCGAGTGACCAAACGTGATAACCCTGCGGGGCGAGGTGTGACCACGCGTGATAGCGCTGTGATCACACGTGATAGCGAAGTACTGTACTGTGACTATCCGTGATAACCCCGTGACCAAACGTGATAATACGGCCTAAATTGTGACTGCGCGTATAATCTCCCTTTTATCAAACCCACTGCGCAAATGTCATTCGTAGTTCACATCTCATACGTGGACTCTCCACCCACATCCTCCATCTCGTCGATCCGCTCGTGCGCTTCGCATCCAGCTGTATGTGTGAGGAAAACGCGGACACTCGAGAGGTTCGGGAGGAGGTTCGAAATGTGCTCACTGTTGTCTGATCGGTGTACCAATGACGATTGAATTTGAGACTCGGCCCTCGTAGTGTTCACGAAGGTCAAAGCGGCATGTACATCTCATGAACATTACCTAGAATGTTAAATGTTTCTCATGACAATCAGCGTAATGAATATACATTCATTACTCTAGAGGCCGCTCCTAGCGAGGACAGCCCGAGCACTTCGCGTCAGGATGGCTCGGCCTACACTTCTGCACCGAACCAATTCCGAGTCGCCCCGCACCAAACCCAAGTGCCGCCAGCGTAGTCCTCAGTGTGTCGTGCCACTCACGTGGCGCCTGGCGGAGACCGTAGACTGGACGCCGGAGACTCCACTGGGTACCAAGAGGGAAAGACCCAGTGAAGCCAGGTGGGCGACGCAGCCAGATCTCCTCGTGCAGGCTGCCCTGCAAGAAAGCTGTGCTGAAGTCGAGAGAGTGCAGCTCGTAGTCATGGTGAGCAGCAACGTGCAGCAGAACCCGAAGAGTGGTCATCTTCGGGGTGGGGGAGAAGGTCTGAAAGTAGTCAACCCCCTGCCGCTGACAGAAGCAACGAGCCACGTAACGCGCCTTGAAGACAGGCGGAGAACCCGGCGGCCGCTTCACCCTGAAAATCCACATGCCACTGACGATGTTCGCCCCACGAGGGGGAACAGCGTCGACGTAGGTGCCTGTTGACTTCCAGGAAGCCATCTCTGCATCCATAGCTGCCTGCCACTGAGAGGAGTAGGGACCCTCTATCGCCTCCGCGTAAGAGCGCGGAGTCGGGATGTCTAGTGCATCCAGGTCTCCCTTAGGGGCTAGTAGTACAGACGCGAGATGAGGTGAAGCGGCGGCCAGACACTGGAACTCCTCCTGCCTGTCCTCAAGGACGTCCGTGCCAAGGGCACACTCACCCT